AACCCGCTCCAGTCCATGAGTCTGCTCCAGAGCTCGTTCCAGTCCATGAGTCTGCTCCAGAGCTCGTTCCAGTCCATGAGTCCGCTCCAGAGCTCGCTCCAGTCCATGAGTCTGCTCCAGAGCTCGCTCCAGTCCATGAGTCTGCTCCAGAGCCAGCTCCAGTCCATGAATCTGCTCCAGAGCCAGCTCCAGTCCATGAATCCGCTCCAGAGCCTGCTCCAGTCCACGAGTCCGTTGCAGAGCCCTCTCCAGTCCATGAGTCCGCTCCAGAGCTCGCTCCAGTCCATTAGTCTGCTCCAGAGCCTGCTCCAGTCCGTGAGTCAATGCAAGTCTCAGAGCTCAGTCCTGTGTTGACGCCAGCCTGTGAGTTCCCTGCCTGTCCTTTCTCAACCACATGTCACCCTTGAGCTCCCTGCCTGTCCTGTCACGGCCAAGAAGGCTGTCTCTGAGCTCTTTGCCTGTCCTATTACAGCCGCAGAGGCCATTGTTAACCTCTGTGCTTTCTATTCCAGACCTGCCTGATCCGCCTTGGTTGTCACCTGCCTCGTCAGCTCCAATTTGGTGGTCATCGGCTCAGCCTGAGCCTTCTTGGTGTTCACTCGCACCATCAGCTCCACTGAAGTGGTCTTCAGCTCCACCCTAGTGGTCGTCTGCTCCACCGTGGGGCCCTTCGGTCCCGTCTGCTCCACCCTGGTGGTCTTCAGCTCTGCCTGCTCTGCCCTGGAGGTCTCCTGCTCTGCCGGCTCTGCCCTGGATTCCTGCTCTGCCAGCTCCGCCCTGGCTTCCTGCTCTGCCAGCTCCCCCTGGCTTCCTGCTCTGCCCTGGCTTCCTGCTCGACCCTGGTCTCCTGCTCCACCGGCTCCAGTTCCTTTTCCTGTCCATGGGCCTGGCCCTCCATCCCTCCCCCGTTTGCCTCCGCCCCACCTCCCTCCTGGACTTGAGTCTTTTCTTGTTTAGGAGCGTCTGGAAGCCGCTCCTTAGAAGGTGGGGGGCTATGTCATGATCACCAACTGGAGTGCCTTTTGATAACCACCAGAGGACAATCCAACCCATTCCTCTGTCACTCAGTCTTGGACTTCATTTCCCATAACCCATTGCCCGGACTCATCATGCCTGATTTTCACCTGTTGCTCATTACCTCTGCCTATATAAGCCTGGTGTTTTCAGTTACTCTTTGCGAAGTCTTGTATGTGCCATTACTGCAATTATAAGCCTTGTATCCTGGTTCTCCCATATTTTGGTTCCTGGTCTTATTCTGCCTGGACTGAACTGAATTCAACTGAATTTAATTATTTTGTAAATTATTTTGAAATTGTTTTATTATAAAGAAATGTATCAGTTGTTTAGATATAGTAAAGTAATAATTGTGATTTATTTTATACTTTTGATAGCCCTAGTTTTTAACCGTAAGATATAAAATCCATATCTGCATATTTAAGTTTCTGAGTTTTAGTTTTGAGTAAATATGTAATTTTCTTACAATATGTGCATTTACATGTATTTACAGTGTACTTGCCTAAAAAAGTAATTTAATATATTGTAACTGCATGGGTTAGGGTTAGGTTTAGGGGTAGGTTCAGGGTTAGTACCTAGTTATACCCAGTTAATGTAATTACTATAATAAGAACATAGTATGCATATGCGGAACTGGACTGTAAAATGAAGTAGTACCTCATTTTCTGTTAAAAAAATATTATACTGGCTATTGGTATTATATTGGCCACCCTGGCACTTTAAAAAAAACATTTCGGTCAACCAGTAGTTAAGGCCAGTAACAAAAATGTTTCCTAGCAGTTGATACCTATTCAGTGTCTTGTTTTTTCTTAACCTGCAGTTCTCGTTGTCTCTCTTTCTTTATAACAGATCTGTTTGAACAGGCAGTGTCAGAATGTCAGTGTCTTTGGAGTGCACAAGTGCTCTGGGAAGTGTAATGGAAGAGGGGTAAGGTTGCTTCTGCTCTGTCAGTCGAAATTTTCACAAATCTGCTGGAAAAAGGTTTTTTTAATCTCTTTTATTTCTCTGACATTAGTTATCAGGCATTAGGCTCAGATTTGAGTCGGGAATGCTAATAGTTAGTCAGCACAAATTATTGCCCTCTACTGAAAGTCTCGCCTTTTACAGAAACGTCCATTTCATTACATTATAGCTATCTGCCAAGGGGACAGCATGTGGCCATAATAGCACTTAGCTAACTAGGTACACATACTATAACTTCACTTGAAGTAGATTACTGCTACGAATGAAATAGCATTTAAAAGCACAGATATGACACGGATTCTGTACTAAATTAGATCACAGCATAACCTTGTGTCAGTAATGGTCTTTCATGGAAGCTTGATACATTTGAAGGTCTAGTTCACCCAAAATGAAAATCTGTCATTTACTCATCCTGCTGTTTTTTTTTCCTGGCATGACCCATATGGCTTTCTTTTATCCGGGGAACACAAAAGGAGGAATGAAGCAGAATGTCTGAGCTGCTCTTTCCTTTGTATTGAAAGTGAATGGTGACCACAGCTGTTAAGCAAGATTTTCAGGGCAAGATTCTTGTAAATTACTGCTCCTCACACAAAGCTATGGCTTCAGAAGTCTTGGAATACAGCTTACAAGTCGTATGGACTGTTTTATGAAGCTTTTTGTCCTTTTTGGAGCTTGACAGGTCTTGGACAACATTCACTTCCATTGCATAGAATACTGCAGCTCGGATATCCTTCAAAACTTCACCTTTTGTGTTTCAAGGAAGAAAGTCATAAAGATTTGGAATAACATTAGAATGAGTTCAGATTTTGGGTTAACAATGTTTTTTTTTTTGTTACTAAATCATACCCCGGTTCACCCCAGTGGCACACACTGTAAATCCCAGCATGCTGGGTGACTTGAAGCTTATCTCAGCTGTTGAAGTACTTCACAATCAATCTCTGTTGCTCCAGTTAGGTTATAGGAGTCATATTGATTTCATTTATGTACCATTAAAAGTGTCATTTATAATCTTTTGGCTCATATGCACATGTGCTTTTTTGCCAGAGGAGCGCTAAAATGCAATAGCTAAACATTGTGGCCAAGAATACCCCCACGTTGTCTTTTGCATTTGCACCCACTGTCAGCTCTGGAGGGCGAGCGTATAATGTTTTATTTATTTTCTCTTGTTATACGCTTCCTAAATTGGAATTCTTATTTTTGTCTGTAGGCTGTGCAATTGCATCCGTTTTTTCTCCAAGGTCTATTTCCTTATTGGAACTGTGCTGCAAGATTAATTGATCATTGTTAATAAAGATGTTGGGAGCTCTGTCAGCATCCTGAGATCCTGGATCTTCTGACTGCTAGTACTTTTTTTTTAAGAACAATAGAAGACCACTAAATACCAAGACCAATACTAGACCCATTAAAGGGATAGTTCACTCAAAAATGAAAATTGTCATCATTTACTCACTTTTGAGTTGTTCTAATGGTGTATGCCTGTCTCTCTTTTTCGGACCACAAAAGGAGATTTTTTAAAAAGATGTCCCATGCTTGCTTGTCCATATAATGGCACTGTATGGCAATCAGCATCAGGCTTTTAAAAAAGTCACAAAAGTATCACAGAATGGTCCCATGCAACACATGCCGTGTATTCCAAGTGTTCGGGGGTATACGATAGGGTTTGGTGGGAAACAAAGCAAAATTTTACATATTATTTAACAAATGTCCTGACCTTGGCCATTGGTCTCTGTGCATGTCTGCATGTTCATGAGACTCTATTAGCGCAGTAGTTCACTCTGACTCATCTAGGAAAAGCACACAAGTTGTGAAAAATCAAGATTCATAAAAACGCAACATGAAACAATGCCTTGAAATCCCCAAAAAAGTATGTGTGCACTTTCTTCACTGAGTTGAGTAACTCCGGACCGGAGCTCCGGTTGTCATGACAGTCAAAATGACAGTTGACAGATGAACGCGATAACTTGCGACGAGCACAACAGATATATTTACCTGAGAGAAGAAAGTACATGGATTGTATATAATTTTGCATTTTTTATTAATCTTGTATTTTCACAACTTGTGTGCTTTTCCTGGGTGAGTCAGAGTAAACTGCTGCGCTAATAGTAATTCAGTAATAGTCCTGCACAGAGACCAATGGTCAAGTCAGGATATTTGTCAAATAATGTGTTAAATTTTAGTTTGTTTCTCACCAAACCCTATCGTATACCCCGAACACTTGGAATATACGGCAAATGTTGCATGGAACCACTCTGTGATACTTTTGCATCTTTTTTAAAAGCTTGATGCTGATCGTGTACACTGCCATTATATGCTTTTGTTTAAATCTCCTTTTGTGCTCTGAAAAAGAAAGAAGGTCATACGGCATTAGAAAATTGGTGAGTAAGGATGAGTAAATTATGACTTATTTTTCATTTTTGGGTGAACTATCCCTTTAAGCCCCACACCGAAACTAGACCCCCTAAGATTTTGATTAATACTAGACCACTAAGGCTATTGATTTCTAGTCTTGAGAGCTCTCAAGACCAAGTCCACAAAATCAAGACTTACACACTCTAATAGATACTCATTAATTCCTGAAATGTAAGAGTTGGTCTGCTGAGAGGCTTTTTACACATGTTGAAACCATCACAGCATCCACGAAAGTTGGATGAGCAAGTTAGATGTTTGAGAGTCTGAAAAATTCCCTGGTTTTTATGGCGGGAAAGACATAGCTGCTTCTTTCATTTTAGAAGGCAGACATCTAATATTCAGACTGTGATTTAAACATCAAGTGACATCAATCAACTTATGCAGCGACCCCTGACACATACCCTGATGGAAAAATGTCATGCATTTTTGTGCAAATGGAAAAATGTTGCCCTTGAATGCAACATTGAACAGACCATCCATGAACTGAATGCTCATGAGGAGATTTCGTACCATTATACCCAAGAATTCCTTAAGCATTGAATAGCAGGATGTTGTTGAAAATGTCCAGCAAGAAATTTGATCAGGTGGTTTGAGCTGCATGTGGCATTCATTGATGATATTTTTTTTGTGTTTTTATGTTTACAGGAATGCAACAACAAGAAGAACTGCCACTGTGAATCTCACTGGGCACCTCCTTTCTGTGACAGGGCGGGGTTTGGCGGCAGCATCAACAGTGGGCCAATGAGACAAGCCGGTACAGTGATGGCCATTGCACTTTTGACTTGCTAGAGCAGTATGCAATATGCTAACACAGCATGACTTAACATGCTTTAATCCATACTTACTGCAGTGCTTATGTGCTCCTTTCCAGTTTCTAGTCTAAGGTCAGAAACATACTCTTTTAAGCAAGTATGCAAACACAATGTTTTTTTAATCTTATTAATTTATTTCAGAAACAACTTTAAAAAAAAAGAAACAAAATCTATCTATCTGTCTGTCTATCATTCTATCATTCTATATATCATTCTAAGAAATTTCACAAACAACTCTATACAAAGAAATTAAGCAAAATGATGAAAGTGACCTTCCTTAGTTACAAATAAATAATACATTTACAAATTTATTACATTTATGCATTTTGCAGATGCTTTTATCCAAAGCGATTTGAGGAACAAAAAGCAACACTTATACACAATGCCAGTTTTTTTAGGCAACTATTACTTTTATTTTAAAGTCTTTTTATTTTTACATTTATAAAACAGAAACATTAAAGGAAAAAAAGGGGGGAAAAAATGACCGTTGAAGAAGTTTACACAAATGCTTGTGATAATGTCTGTTGAGAATGGATACATGCATTGCATTATTAATTACTTGTTAACAAATTTCAGAATACAATGATGCATACATTACATTTTGCATACCAAGAAGCATTTCTGTTTGCGAACATGTCTGGAGTATGTTTCGACATGCATCATGCATTCAGAATTTACAACTGTACTGCTTGAGGAAGTGCACTAGCTCTAACCACTTTCATTCCCTCTGTGACAGCTGCACTGCAGGTAGAACAGCGCAGCTTGAAAGTGCAATGTACTTACAAAACCCATTAAACGATTTTCCAGTGGAAAAGCATAACAGCATTGACAGGACATGTCATTGATTTACTGGTGGAAACCTGAAGCACTGCGCTTAGATGTCACTCAGCAGACATTCAAGAACTTTGAGACAGCTTGTAAAAGCAATGCAGGTGGAGACACAGAGGGATGTTGATCGATTCTTTTTCTCTCTAACCTGACTGTGACTTCTTGTGTTTTCCCTCTCTGTGCCATTCTGTGTCGTGCTGTACAACAGATGTGCGAGTGTGTGTATTAATGTGCGGGCTGTCCTATGTGACAACAGCTGACTGTAGCGCTGTGGCTGTGGGCGTGCTGGTGACCCTTCTTTGCTTGCTGTCGGCGGGACTGATTGTGTGCCTGAAGAAGAAAACACTGGTTCAGATGCTCTGCATCAATAAGAAGAGCGCCATTCAAAAGCTCAGGTACTGTCAACCAATGCAGCAGTGTTTTCCAAAATGTGTTTGATCCTGAATTCCTGCTGGTTTCCATCCAGGGACACCAAGAGTCCTGAGAGTTTTTTTTAAGCTAAAGGGAATTAAGTTTCAAGTTCAGTATAAGTTCATATCGACAGGAATTTGGGCCATAATGTAGTTTGTCACAGAAAATAATTTTGACTCGTTCCTTAAAAAAAAAAAATCATGGTCAGAGTAACATACTTACAATGGAAGTAAACTGGGCCGGCATTCCAGAAGGTTTAAAAGTCTAAATGTGAAGCTTGTATTTTTGTTAAAACTCTTGAATTATTTAGTAAAACCCAGTTTATAATTTAAGCTTTAAAGCTGTATAAATCACCCTTTTTGAGGTGAGAATAGTTGGGTGAACTTCTGTGTTACTTATGTAATTCCTCCTTTCAACAGTTTGGGGTTGGGAAGATTTCTTAATCAAAGTCTCTCATACTCAATACATGTATTTGATTAAAAATACAGTAAAAATGGTAATATTCTGAAATTTTCTGAACATTGTCTTTGTGGATATATTTTAAAATGTAATTTATTTCTGTGATGGTAAAGCTGAATTTTCAGCAGCCATTACTCCAGTCATCAGTGTTACATGATCCTTCAGAAATCATTCTAACATGCTGATTTGGTGCTTAAGAAACATTTCGTAATATCAATGTTGAAAACAGTTGTGCTCAGAATCTCAGGATTCTTTAATGACTAGAAAGTTCAAAAGAACAGCATTTATTTGAAATATAAATCTTTTGTAACATCATAAATGTCTTTACTCTCACTTTTGATCAATTTGTTGCATCCTTGGTAAATAAAATTATTATTTTTTAATCATTATTTTTTTAAACGTATTGACCCCAAACATTCTGTCAGACCATGGCTATCATTTTAAAATGGTGTGTATTTTAATATTTACTGCCTGGACTTTGTCTACTTACATTGTACATGCCTTACTATGAACATAATTTTTTGCTCTTTAAAAATAATGAGCAAGTAAAAATGTTTGTGGTAATCAACAGATGCCACAGATGCTGCAATAGAGCTTAATAAAAAGTGGTGTATAAAAAGGGAACATCCCTACTGTAGTAATCATATTCAGCATATTTATACCTAAAACATAAAACATTTTGAAAACTTTCTTAATTTTACAGATCAGTAGGAACAAAACGAGCACCCAGCCCCCCACGGACACAGTCAGTCTTCAGGGTCTCGCCTCAGCACAAGCCCGCCTCTTTACCTTTACACTCCCGCTGTGACAAGGCAAGTGTGATACTCTGCTCATCATCACAGACTCAGGCACACAACGTGATGATAATGTCCAAAACTTTTAAGAATATTTTAAATAATCTTATTTATATATTATATATCAAATATTATATATTAAATATTTTATATTTTTAATATTTCTTATCCAAAATGAGTTACCTATTTTCAGTAGTACAATTTCCTTATTGCATTTGTGAAAACATTTTTTTTTTTTAAATAATCATATTAAACTGAATCGAAGCAGACAGTTTGTGACCAAATAGCAGATTTTATGTATTGTATCATTTTGTGAAGAATTCCATAATTCATTACCTCGGTGTCTGTCCTGCCCAGCGAGGAACAGATGAGGTTAGCTCACTCGCACAATTACTATGGCCGTCCAAGCCAATTTATCCCTTGCTTTCTGTGTACACGGCATGAGACTTAGGTGCATAATTGATTTATTCTCCAGTATCGACCCTCAAAGAATTTTAATGAAGTCCAGATCTTCATCTAAAACCTCAAACATTAATTTTGAAGCATTTCTGTTTTAATTCAGTGTAATGTACTTGAGTAGCATAACAATATAATCATTGAAATTGTTTGTTGGAGCTGGAAGCCTTTGCTCAAAGGGGGAGGTCAGGCCTCTATGTGATTGGACAGTCGCCATTGAAATGTGTTGGGATTGTTAAAGCATTGATCAATTGCTTCATCTGGGTATTTTGAGTCTGTGTGCCATGCCACAACCTGGAACGGTATTGAATTGTGAAGCAGTGTATGCAGAAAAAGGTTTAGATTGATTCCTCAAAAGGTCTTAAAGGTTAGCAGTAGCGAGCAGTAGAGCTCGTATTGAATTCTTGTCTTTATTTTCAAGAGCTGTCTGTTTTCCACAGATGTCTCATCCCAGTTCGGAGCCTCTCCTTCCTCCACACAACTTCCACAGTTTGCATCGGCTGCCTGAATGTCCCACCCGCTGCCAGCCTGTCCACATCAGCCACCCCATGCCCATCACAGGTCTGCAGCCTCTGCCCTCAGTCCTGCCTCACAGGACTCTAGTGTCACACACACACTCGCCAGGCAGAGCGGCAGGCTTTCACACCCTCCCTCACCGGCTGCCCTACACTAACATCCAGGTAAGTGCTGTCAGCCTCAGACTGTCACCATGTACCAGATATCTCAACCTGCAAAAACCCATTCTCAGAGTTTGGCCTCATCACATAGTAGTACATGAATAAAGTAGCTCCTAAACTTAAATTCCAAAAATCACAGCTGTTCTCCCTTATCATTTACATTTGCTTTATATCCCGTTCGCTCGTAAGCCACATACACAGGTTGATTCCATCAGCTGTATTTGTGTGCCGCACTCTGTGCTCCCACAAAAGTGATGTGATGAAATCTAAACAGAAGTGGTCAAAGGAGATGCATTCAAACTCATTTATACCAGGTGGAAACGGTAAATGCATCTCAGCTGAAAACTTGGTATTGAATCACCAAAAATGCACTTTAATACCTTGGAAATGGGGCTTCTTTCTCTTTCACTCGATTTTCAGAATATTGTAAATAATTTGAGGGACCCACTATCAATATGCGAGAGAATCTCGGACATTCCGGGAGAGGTGTGAACACGAGTGCGGTTTTGATAAATATTATGGCAATATAAAAATTCTATACTTTTTTTTAATAATAAATAAATTTTAAAAAACACTGAAAAGAAAAGTATTTGCTGTGCTGAAAAATTTTTATTTAAATTATGGATATAATATATAATTAATATAATATTTCAAATGCTTACGTTTTTATACGTGTGAGTGAGTGAGAGAGTGAGTGAGTGAGTGAGTGAGTCAGTGTGTGTGTGTGTGTGTGTGTGTCTGTGTGATCATTTAAGATGGATATCCGTTTTGAGATTTGTATATAATGATAATATTTAATTGTTGATAATAAGACTGCATAATTAAATATATATAATCGACGAGATATATCAAATATTATTGGAGCAACTATTGGATTCTACATGATAAAAAAATATCATGTAGAATCAATGCTTTATCATGTAGCTGTTGATTAGAACACAATGCAAGTATGAATATTATTAAATACAAAATTAGTCATATTATGAATTAGCATTGTCAGCCTGTAATCACAAAAATTATTGCAAAAGGCTTGTGGGTCAGGAGGAGGTTTATACCATAAGGGCCCATTTACCCAGAAAAAAACAACAGAAAAGTAGCACAGTGGAATGCAAAAATGCATTGTATGTAAATGGGCTAGATTGATGTCTTTGACAGTTGTGCTCACGTCAGGCTTCTTTTTTAGTCTTTTCTCATTCATGACTCTGCATTCTAAAAACAGTGGCACTCAAAGTTAAAGTAAGTTAAAACCTGTCTTGAGACCTTCCATTCCACTGCTCGTTTTTCAATGCAAAAACACGTTCTGTGTAAGTAACCCCTAAGACTGCAGCCTAAGACTGGATCTGTTTCATTGGTTGAAAGCGACTGACAGATGCAGAAACCAAGCGGAGGGAGATAAGGAGACGTTAGCAAGGACGTTACACTTTCCATTGCTGCACACACCACATACATTTCTTATATGAAGTTTCCAGTTGAAGATAAAACAAAGACAAAAAGTATTAGAGTGGGGTAGGCAGAGCGGGCGGAGGAGTGAAAGTGATATGGCGAGAATGAGATTGGACGGGTGCATGAGAGCTTTCCTGTGAGATGGGATGAGAGACGTCCGTGTGTGAAGGTATGTGGTTTAAACGATAATGCTGCTTGGGGACGTTGGCAGGATATGCTATCAGACAGCATGAAGAAGAACATCTGTTGCTTTGAATCTCAGCTCGACTTCACGGCACTGCAGCGAACTAACGGGGGATAGATCCAGCACACTATGAAAGTCTCACCTCAAGGAGACATTTATCTTGCTATAAAAGTGTAAGATAGGTATTTTTATGATAACACATTATATTCTGAAATAAAAAATACAAATAAAGGTTAATCTATGAGGTAGGTATACTAGATTCTCTTTAAAAAATAGTAGAAAAGTAGAAATTTTGAGGTAGACATACAGACTGATTGGTGTTATATATATATATATATATATATATATATATAATCGTTTAGAACCTGTTCAAGCAATTAATCAGTGTAAGTTTACCAAGTTACATACAAGCATCTGTGATATGCTGTTGAAAATAATTTTCTTTCACTGCTCAGTTTGTGAAAGCTAACTGCTTTTTTATATAAATAAAGCACTTACAGTAAGGCAAGACATTATACTCAAATAAATGGTAAAATATTTTCAAAATATGTTTTGACAGTATAAACAAAACTATACATATTAGCATAGAGACGCAAGAGACTTGCGTTGATAAAATCATCTACTAACCTTGTCTGTGCAGTTATATCCAATATAACTGCCTGTAATGACCATATTATAAAGCTCGTAGACCTGGTAAATGTCACATGGTACATGCAAGGATACCAGAAAGGGACGTGACATAACTTGTAAAATACTGAGCTCCACACACAGGATTTACATCAGTAAACATGTAATAAGATACCACTTTTAAAAATACAGTATAAACTTTGCAGCTATACATTTTTGTATCAAAAAAATTATTTAGATTTTTGCCTTGCCCTAATGTCTTGCATTATAAGTTCATTACTGTATTTTTCTATAGAAGCTGCATATAGATTATGCCACAGATTCTGTCTATAGAGCTTACCTAGTATTGAATGGAATATAAATAAACCTTTTATTCCCATTCTAACAAATATATAATAAATAAACATTTTTTGCTTTCCATCAGTGGCGTTTCACCAAAAAGCCTTTCATAGCTCTCATGCTGTGGCTGTGCAACACAATACAAATGACTGATACATTGAAGCTTGTTTGGTTTCTATGCTGACCTCACTGAAAGCATTCACATTAAACCCTTTTACATGCAAAATCACTGTGGATTGTTTAGTGCTCTTGAGTGCCCTTTTCTACTTGACTGAGTTCACATTTACTCAGGGAGTTATGAAACACTTTCAACTCTTACGGCGTTCTCACAAATTGGTCTCATGGCTCGACACACCGCTGTGCGCTCATGATTAAAAGGTCTTGTATTGCCATAATGACGTTGCTTTCTCTAGGATGATGGTTCACAGGAACAAATGACTTCCATACAATAGTTAGAAACGGCAATGAGGCAAAAGTGTTGCATCAGAAAGACACAAAAATGGATGAATTGGTTGTCTCAGCATTTTGGATTAGTCAATTTCTCCATTGTTTTCCACAAAGCAAGGCTACACAGCTGTGAAAAGGTAACAGCTGCATGCCATGACCTCATCCTCCGAGTAAATTGGTAACATATGATGACCTCTTGACTTAACATTGGGTGAATTGGGTGTTGGCAATGGGAATGCTGCACATTTTGTTTTTGTTATTTGCATTGTTGCCAACCGGGTTTTTCAGGACGAGGAGTGTAATCGCAGCGCCATCTAGTGGCAATAGTATGCTAGCAGGGTTTTTTTTTTTTTCCTCAACCCTTTTGTCCGTAATGTTATTGAATATATTCATTTACGACCCCTGCAGAAACTCCACGGAGGGTCTCACAGAGAAGAGGACTGACCGGACACCTTGGTGCTGTGCCTCCTCAGAAAAGGTGTTTGTTTGTCCTCGCTCAGGTACTGCAGAAGTATTTAAGATGTATATTTATTGTGAGGAGGAAACTATGTGCTGTGCTTGACACTCTTTTTACTGTATGACAATTTTTTTTTGTTTTTACATGTTGAAAATAATGCTGATTGAAAATTAGGTGGCAAATCATGTTTTTCATTCTTTTTAAGTGTTTTTCCCCCCTCAATTTATCTTATGGTAAGACTTACTTTGGTGTTGTGAAGATCAAAACAGACCTGCTTTAAAATGACGCAGCATGTCTGGGATACTGGAGTATAAGCAACCTGAAATCTGAATGACTAAACACAGCGCTGGAATGGAATGAGCCACTAAGTGCAAAAAAACCCTTCACAATTACTTGAATGAGGCATGTCAGGAAGGAGAAAAAGATATGAGCCATTATTCAGTCATAGTTCAATCATCAGTGGCAGTCATGCTTATGGGCTTTGACAAACCAACTTTTCGTGAACTACAGTACCTTAAAAGTATATGTGCTTAGCAGTGCTGCAGTATCTGCCAAAGCACGAATCATTACTACTATTGCTACAACGTTAGCCCTAAGCATTCAACTTACGGACAAAAACGATACCTCAAATTATGTGGCTTCCTGAGGAGAGATTTGCTGAACAATTAAACAGGCAAAATATACCTTATTATATTGACTATTATATTAGTTATATTGACTCTAGGGGCAGAGCCATATCTAGACAGCAGAATATGCATAGCAACTACATGGCAATGGCATATCTTCAGAAAATGAAAAAATCCCGTCAGTATTTATAGTCCAAACACTCCTTTTTCCAACATGTTTTGAAACATTCAGAGAAATACCAGTGGCAACACAGAATATGTAGTGACACCACAGACCTTAAAATATCACAGAATCGCAGCTCAGCATTCCCACTGAGCCATCAGGATCCAGCAGCTGTCATGTCTGTGTCATTATGGCCTTGTTGTGCTGTATACACACATGTGAAATATCTTCCAATACTTGAGGTTATAGATGTTGAATTTTCTGTACTGTATTTCTTGTATTATTTTTGACAGTATACACTACCAATCAAAAGTTTAGGGTCAGTGAAACTTTCAAAGAAATTAATCAAAAGTGACAGTAAATATATTCACAATGTTACAAAATATTTCTATTTCAAATAAATGCTGTTCTTCATCAAAAAATTCAGAAAAATATGGTTCATGGTTTAAATAAAATATTAAGCAGAACAACTGAACTCTTTTCAACATTTATAATCGGAAATGCTTCTTAGGCTTCAAATCAGCATATTAGAATGATTTCTGAAGGATTGTGTGACACTGAAGACTGGAGTAATGGTTGCTAAAAGTCAGCTTTGCGTCACATGAATAAATTACATTTTAAAATATATTAAAATAGAAAACAGTTATTTTAAATTGTGATAATATTCCACAATATCACTTTTTTTTTAATCAATTAAATGCAGCTTTGCAAAAGAATTGCAGAATTTTTTTTTTTTTTATCTTACTGACCCCAAACTTTTGATTGATTAAAGGAGTCTTTTTAGCCAAATAAAATCATTACCTTCTAAAAAAAAAAAAGTGTTTGACATCAAAATAATGTAAAGTACACAGGATGTAGTAAATATCACTGCTGGTGTGTGTTATCACAACTATGGCATTTTTACACAAGTGGTTCTCTCTTGCCTATAACACAGCACTCTTTATGCACAGCTGGACTCACAGTTTTTCATAAACTTATGGGATTGTTGTTCTGCTTGGTACTTCACCCTGAGGGGGAATTTTTCCCACATAATATTCCAGCATTGTTGCTTTGGGAGTATATCAAACCCAGCTGTCACATTATTTCATTCAAGCCAAGCCTGTGTGTGTGTTTCTTTATGTTCTTGTTTACCTATTCACAGCAATGTATGTACATTTCACCTTTTTATATGCACTCACGTGGATGTAATAAATGCTCTTTTTTTTTTTTTTCGACAGATAATCTGTCAATCTGTCATCAAAGATGACTGCTCAGTTTTTGCACTGGGTGTTGAATTCATTGTGTAAGTTTTATATACTACAAAATCCATTTTTATTTCTATGAATTACCGTAGGTAGGATATTAAAAGGGAATTGTGAATGCCTTCAAAAAAATGAAACTGGATACTGGTAATGCAAGGACTTGAACGAGAATAATAAATGAGGATATTACTATCGTGAATTCAATTTCATTTTATTTTACAGGGTCCACTACAGTAACATAAAAGTTGTTTTTTAATAACTCAAGGCTTCAATGTAATGTGTAAAATGACATTAAGATAATGACCATTTCTTGTCTCCATAAGAGAATTGTACCGTTGATGTCAGTCGATTTGAATCTTCCAAGCTTATATTATCCAGCAAGTTTATGATGTTCTGAAACAGAAATTGTCTTTTTGTTCCAAGCTACAAAATAATATTAATTCGTTCATGTATAGTTTGTCAGGTTACCTGTCTCCCAAATACTTTTGCCATATCCGCTGCACCTGCTCCATACTACATTAGGGTGTAAATATAATTTTAGTGTTATCAGTTTTCCTGCGGCAAAATGTTTTATTGCACTACTCTTATTGTTTAATTATTTATGTATTATGAATATAATAATGATCATAATCTGTTACCTCGTTCTTCATGTGATGATCTGCTCCACCATAAAGCAGAGGTTTCACCAGTTCCACATGGTTATTCAGCACAGCGACCTGAAAAATTATTGCCAAAAAAATAAATAATGATGTCATCCATCTTGTCCTCAGAACTTCTAGTGGTTGTTTTGATGATAAATATGTGTGTTAATATATAAATATTAGTGGTGTCTTACCAGCTTTGTCACGGAAGTTTACATCAGCTCCAGCCTGGAGGAGGATGGAGGCGACCGCAGCGTTTCCACTGATGGCTGACACACACATGAGAGGAGTCCAGAGAGACACTTTATCCATCACATCCACCTGTCGGAGTACAAAAAACACATGTTTTCAACAGGGTCCATCGCAACATTAGTAGTAGGCCGCCCTAGATGGTGCATCTAAAAAAAGAGAATTTTGTGAAACATCATTGCTATAGAGGTAAACTGAAGTTTCTGAAACTTCAGATCATATGACATATCTTTAAAGGAATAGTCACTCAAAAATTTGCTTAAAATGTACTCACCCACAGGCCATTTAAGAAGTTTCTTCATCGGATAGATTTTGCATTATATCACTTGCTCATCTGATCCTCTGTAGTCAATGAATGCTGTCAGAATGAGAGTTCAAACAGCTGATAAAAACATCACAATAATTGTTTGGATAATCCATCCAAGTTTATTTAACAAAGTTTGGGAGGAGCACGTTCAGGTAATCCAACCAATCAGTGCAAGAGGAGGCTGGAATATACAGCCGTCCCTCACCTCTATCCTGTGACAGCTTCACAGCATCCCTCCACCATCCCATCACCTCACTCTTGTTTGTTTCCTATCCCAGTAATAAAGGGGGGAGTACTCTGGGTTCGGGCCAAAATTTCACGCTCTGAGTCCTCCGCTGGACAGCACGACAAATAATCATACTTTATTATATCTGATTGCATGTGAACTTGTGAAATAAATCCATCAAGACATTTTTAACTTCAAATTGCTTCCACCTTTTTTCAAGGAGAACGTAATCTCATCAGAATCAGGAGAGAAATATGCACCGATCAAGCACCGTTTGCAAGCGAGAACAATTCTAAACAAATATGTCAGTGAATTTTGATGTGAGAGGGGATGGACTTTTTCACTGGAGGAAGCATTATGGATTATGGATTTGTACGTTGACCAGAAGTGACAGTTTAAAGTTAAAACGCCTTGTTTCTAATAAACACACAGCTTTTCACTTCACAAGACATTAATTGATGGACTGTAGTCATGTTGATTACTTGTGGATTATTGTGATGTTTTTATCAGACTGTTATATGTTTGGACTCTCATTCTGACGGCACCCATTCACTGCAGAGGATCCATTGGTGAACAAGTGATGTAATGCTAAATTTTTCTAAATCTGTTCCAATGAAGGAAAAAACTCTCCTACATCTTGGATAGCCTTTGGATGAGTACATTTTCAGCAATTTTTCATTTTTGGGTGAACTATTCCTTTAATGTCCTCTCACCTCACAACCATCCTGGATCATATATGTAATGACAGGCAGGTGTCCTCCATCCACGGCCCAGTGGAGCGGTGTGCAGCCGTCTGTATCTTGAGATTGCCAAGTGGAGCCGCAGTTACGTAAATACTTCACTGTATCAAGGTGGCCAGCAAAACAGGCCTGCATTAGACTAAAAAAAAAACATGCATACATAAAAATATACATGTTAGAAGACATGAATTATACAATTCAACTGCATTGAAAAAGCATATGCAGGCACACCTGTCTTTTCCAGTGCTGTCTTTCTTGTTAATATCAGCTCCATGCTTCACCAAAATGTCCACTAAGCTACAAACCAAACAATCATTATTAGAAATATATGACTATATTTCAACAAACGACACTTTTCTCTCATTAAACCGCACAGCAATAACTACAAACAGACTAATGGGAGATTCTTGCTGAGTCTGGCTGTGAATTCATCTCTCTGTTTGCATCCAGCTTTGTGTTTAAACGAGTAACATCAGAAGCACGTTTACCTGGTGAAACCTTTCTGTGCTGCCACCATGAGAGGGCTGAAACCCATTTTGTCATAAACATCCACGTCGACTGTTCTAGGAGAGAAATTACATGAAAGGGGTTTTGAATGATGTGTGAACTGGCATTTAAGGGGATATTTCACCTAAAGATGAACATTTTGTCATCATTAATCACTCTGTTCCACAGAAGAAAGAAAGTCATACAGATTTAGAATGGCATAAGAGTGATTAATGATGACAAGTTTGTAATTTTTGGGTGAAATATTCCTTGAATTAGTACAATGTTAGTACTAATATAGAATATGAAGAAGCTTGAAGTGTGAGTGTGGTCTTACAGATGGTCAGTGAGTCTCACCCTGACTGTAGAACTGTGGTCAGCTCCTTGTCATCCTCCCTGTGCACAGCCTGGTGGAGGTTCTTCCCACTGAAAGGCTCTCCTGTGGCCAAACCATCAAAACATTAACCAAATAAACTACCATTCAAAAGTTAGGGCTCAGTAAGATTTTTTTTTAATATATATTTTTAAAAGAAGTCTTAGCGAGGCTGTATTTATTTGATTAAAAAATACAGTAAAAACTGTAAAATTTTAAAATATTATTAGAATTTAAAATAAGTGTTTTCTATTTTAATATATTTTCAAATGTAATTTATTCCTGTGATGGTAAAGCTGACTTTTCAGTATCATTACTCCAGTCTTCGGTGTCACTTGACCCTTCAAAAATGTAATATGCTGATTTGCTGCTTGTGATAAATCAAGTTCAAAAGAACAAGATATATATGAAATATAAATCTTTTGTAACATTATAAATGTCTTGTCAATTTTGATCAATTTACTGTGTACTTGCTGGATAACATTATTAATAAAAAAAAATAAAAAAATACTGATCCTAGAATTTTGAACTGTAGTGTAGTGAACTCCTAAAAGAGTCTGTTTCTACCAATAACAGCTGAGAGGAGCATGGGATTACTAGGTTTAAAGTAAGAAAATAATAGACCAAGTTGACTGGAGATAAAATATCTCACGGGTGGTGAAGACAGAGAGAGCACAGGGCTGAGGCTGCACTCCCCTGAGGCTCTGGTGACTCTCAGTCTAAAACCATAGGAGGTGCTGGGCTCCAAGCCCTTACAACATGATGGGTGCTGTACCCTTTGTGATAAAACACCAAAATGTTGTTATTACAAGGTGTCTTGCTAAACTGCAGGTTTTGAATATGTTGCAATAACTTTAATATTTAAAAAAAAAAATCTTCAGTGTCAAACAGAGAAAACTGACATGTATACGGTGCTGTATGTATGTGTTTTGGGGTCCATCTGCTCCACAGAGCGTGTTCAGCGTTCAGGGGGGCCATTTCGAGGTTTATTCTATGCATTCATCAAGCTCAGCTCGATACTGTGGTGACTGACCTTCCCAATCACAAGAGGAAGCTCTGGATATTTTTCTGGCGAAATTGAGAAAATAAATGGCAGATTCTTAATATCATGTAGATTGTTTATATTAAAGTTGTAATGTGATTTTTAAAGTTGTAATGTGAATTTTAGACATATTTAGCTTTGCAGTAATATCCAACACAGTCATATTACTTTTTGTTTACCATACCTGTGTTTTGACAAGGCTTGAAACCCAAACCAATCTATGGTTAATATGCAGTTATCTGATACAGCAGCATCCATGGTATGATCTTGCTATTCAGGTGTGACATATGGGTAAATTGTAGCCTATTGGTTTCATCTTAATAAAGGTCATGAATATCACATAACAACGCACCAAGAATAACTAACCACAACAGATTGTTCCTGGATTAGTGATTAAGTTAAGTTTATCCATTACTTTTTAATCACTGTTGCTGGAGAAAACTTTTTTTTATTTTACACACACACACACACACACACACACACATACCTACATACATACATACATACATACATATAAAAAAATATAGGCAACATTTTAGTTTAGGGACCAATTCTCACTATTAACTAGTTGGTTATTAGCATATTAAGCACATATTAATGCCTTATTTTGCAAGACCATATTTTTGATGCCATAATTCTACCCCATACCTAAACTTAACAACTACCTTACTAACTATTAATATGCAGCAAATTAGGAGTTTATTGAGGCAAAAGTTGTAGTTATTAGTTAATAGTGAGAACTGGTTCCCAAACTAAACTGTGACCGAAATTACATAAGGTTTTTGCTTATTACTATATGTTAATCAAGAGAGGAATAAAGCAACTCTGTGGTAACTTTTCTATCAAACATTAAACAGACAGCTTGCAGTTTTCAGCTCTTGCTTGATCTTTCTGTTGCCCTCTATTATATTTTGCAAACGTAAACAAGTTGTTGGAAATCTAGTTTAGTTTTTTTTTATGGTAACAAAATGTCCTGACTATTGACTATTGTATAAACTACTAGCCACAAAAAAACAAATCAAATGTCTCCCTGGGTTCATCGCTGTGTCCTTGTAGTGTAGTGTAGAGAAGTCCCCGCTCAGAGGATGATGAGTTGTAAGCAGGAGTCTGCTGTGTGTTTGCCTCACTCTCTCTCTCGCGCACATCTGACTGTGCGAGCTTTACCGTTGTCATGGTGACAGCATTGGTGCGGCCGTGCGCGCAATCTTTGGCCCATTTGAGTGTTTCTTTTAGTTGCACAAACACGAGTTTCCAAAATGTGTTCAGATTATAACATGTTAAATCTTGTTTTAACATGAGAGCGATGTATGGTTATTGAGACTGAACCCTTGTTTTACCCTGTAGTCACTTTCATCAGATGAGACTCTACTATTGTGGTGGGATTAAATAACCACATGACCGCTCAAAATCTCTGCCGCTGTGCGTCTGAGCGGTGATTCAGTCCGCCACCGACGGGAAGTTCGAGTCGGTTCTTTCAAACAAATAATTCAAAGAACCGGATCAACAACGATTCAGTGATTCTTTTACGTCATCACGCGGTCCCTGGCATTTTAAATGATTTAAAGGATTTGAAATAAATACGTTTTGATCACAGTTTCTAAAATATGTTAGATCTTGCATTACCACAAAAATGTAAGCCTATATTCATCATAAAATTGCCTTGACATTTTAAGACTTTATTAGTTTACATTACTTTTTCAGGTCTAGAAATAACACTTTTAAATGTCATCTTGAGGCCCCCTGGACTCACTGATGCCCCAGTGGGCCCCCTGGTTGAGAACCTTTGAATGTATGGCTACGTTTTTATAATGAGGGTGGTTATTTTGTCCTTTTATGTGTCCACATTCAGTTTGTTGCAGTTATGATTCAGCTGATTAAACATTCCTGAATTTACAATAAACAACTCTATAAATCTATGTGCATTGCTTGGCTAAAAACATTTAGCATGTTTTCATAATTTATTTAAATCAGCTCAGTTTCATGTCTTGATAAAACTGTCAATCAAAATTTCTGCTATTAAACTTTCTTTTTATTCATTAAGTAAATCTTTAATACACTTTAAATGCTCTTCCTAGCAGTTACTGGCTCGAGAACAACTCCGACCGATTCAGTGCTACTGGCGAACGACCGGTTCTCGGTTCATTAAAAAGATCCTATTCAAAAGAAAGATTCGTTCACGAATCGGACATCTCTAGTGCGCTGAGCGGCACAACTGGTGACACAAAGGGTTTGTCTCTCCAGAGCGCGGGTACCTAAAACTAATCTGGAGGACCATAAATATGTCACATAACTAACAGAGCGTGATTCAGTCGATTTGTTCAGTTAGATTTATTTGTCCAATTGAAGAGAGAGGCGCATTAGGGCAACGATGGAGCTGGAGCTATCAACAGATGTGGAGGAACTATCTGAAACCAGCGAAACTCAAGATATTGATACGGATGATCTGCTGGAGTTAAATCAGTTCGACGGGCTCCCTTTTTCTTCAAGATATTACAAACTATTAAGCGAAAGAAAAGGTCTGCCGGTGTGGGGAGCGAAATGCGAGTTTATGGACAGTTTGATGAGCAGCCAGGTTGTGATAGTTACTGGCACAGCTAAAACAGGACAAAGCACTCAGGTGAGTTAATATTAATATTTTATTTGGTATTTCAAACCTCATTGCATATTCAGGATAAATAGGGCTGAATTTTGAACAGAACGTAAGTTACTATTAGATTGAATTTAATGTGAACATTATATTGCTTTACATTGCTTCATCTATTATGCAAAAGATCATATAATATGGGGTAGATGCAACGTATTCATTACTGCTAGTTCATTTGTCACTGAAAGTATCAAAAGTATCTTATTTGTGAGTGTTTTATTTTTGAATAGCCTTACAGCATGTGGTTTTCGGTGTTAATCTTCATTTAGATCCCTCAATGGTGTGCAGAGTTTTGCCTGTCTGCGCAGTATCAGAATGGCATGGTAGTGTGTACTCAGATTCACCAGCAGAGCACTGTGGAACTGGCCCTCCGTGTGGCCGACGAGATGGACGTCAACATCGGCAATGAGGTTGGATACAGCATCCCACTTCAGACCTGCTGCTCCCCTGATACTTTACTGAGGTGTGTATATGATCCCTTTGCATGTTCAGTAATGTGAAGTCTGAATGGCATTATTTGGTCATTTTCCCTGGACTTTTTCTTCCATTCAATTCTGCAATCTGCCCCTCCCCCCTTCATTGCCACCACATGTGCATCTCTTTTCAGGGGCGCCTGTCCTTCTAAACAATATAATAGCTAACAAAAGGCTGAGGGGGATCGGTCTGAGGGTCTCCACGGCAGCTGCCGTGTTTCTGTACTGCCCATATGCTTCATCAGAGCTTTCAGAGCGGCAATAAGTCAGTCTGGCGAACAAAGAGCCAGAACTGTGATTTGAACAGCTGAGAAGGTCTGACTTAATGAAAACACTGACCTTAAGGAAAACACTGACAATTCCCAGAGTAAATTATCATCCGATCACGTCTGCTTGTCTTCAGTTAGCTTGTTATTTTTGTTTGTAGACGTATACAAGGATTTTGTATTGAATCGATGCTGATTTGCACTCTTGAAGAAGCCTGCAGTGACATCTGTTGCTTTGCAGATACTGCACAGATGATGTGTTGCTCCGGGAAATGATGTCGGACCCCCTCTTGGAGCAGTGTGGTGTGGTGGTCATTGATCAGGCCCAGGAACGCACCGTCAGCACAGACCTTCTCCTCGGGCTGCTCAAAGACGTGCTCCTCACACGGCCAGAGCTCAGGCTGGTCATCCTCAGCACCCCTCACTCCGCAGAGAAACTGCTACGTCGCTATGGAAGTGTTCCTCAGATCTGTCTGGAAGGGCCTCGGCCGTGCGAGGTGGTGTACGGCAGTGGGAGAGGAGGTGTGAAGGATTACCTCTGCTCTGCTCTTAGACTGGCTCTGGAGATACATCAGAATCAAAAGCATGGAGACATTGTGACATTTCTGGCAACTGAGCAAGTAAGAGACATTTCAAATTTTATAGGTGAACTAGTGCTAAACTTTTGTAATTGTTTACATTTTGTTGACATTTTTAAAATATTTATTATTCACAAATAATTTTATTAATGAACAAATAAATGACATTCTTTACATATAATATAAAATAATATAAGTAAACTATAAGTTATTTTTATAATTAGTATTTATTGTTAATATTACTTTTTATAAAGTAAATTATTACATTTAATTTATTAATACATAAAACAATATACAATTATTTATAAGTGGATATTTAATTATAATTAAATATATAATCTCCTGTTTGCTTTATGTGTGTAAACAGACATAAAGTACTCTCAGTACTTTACAGACCGAAGAACTCACTTCTAAAATTATATTATATATTACAGTATTTTATATATATAGCATTTTATGTATTACATAGATGCTGATTTGCATTTAAATGTATTAATTGTTATGTAATTATATATATATATATATATATATATATATAATATATTGATAATAATATATCTACAATAATATAGTAATTAGTCAGATTTCATATTTTTATCTTTTATA